AAAATCGCAAAAAACCGATTTTTGGGCAAAAATAGGCCAAAAAACCATGTTTTTTGATATTTTGAACAAGTTAATTTTGTTGGCATGTCGGCAAAACTTGCATGGAGATAGTTAAAAGACAGCCGCACAAGATGATATAAAAATTTGAAAAATCCCTCTATTTTTTTGGGGGTAAAAATCCAAAAAAGTGGTAAAAATTTGGACTTTTTTGCGCGCAATTTATTTTTGGTACTTATATGCTATATTTTGGAAATTTTTAGTTATATATCTCGTAATAACAACTAATTTAAATATATTAAATATAATTTTGACCAAAAAATTCATTTTTAATGGAACCAAAATTGTAGGTGCGCCGCGCATATTTTCGAAAATTTACACCGTGATATGAAAATCGAGCGCTAAAGCAAATACTGTCATATTGTCACAAGAATTCCTAGGTTGTTTTTCAGTATTATTGTCGCATTTCGAAACTCCTTTTCACCCTATTTGGTTATCTTTTTGATGTGTAATTTGATTACTAACTATGTTTAAATGTACTTTCTTTGATGTGGAGTACCCATTCATACTATTTCCTATCGTTTTTATCATATGCTTTTTCCTCTAGAGTCGGCTCTATTTGTGATATACCATCTTCTACATAGTTTATCGTGGTTTTTTGATACTGAATTGGTTTAATTGATACTATACGATTACTCTGTTAGAAATATAGTAAGATGTGACGGAATAATATCTAAACTAAAATATTCAAATTTTAGAAGAGCTTTAGCGATTTCAAAGAATTAGCAAATTGATTGTACATCGTAGAAGCTACTACAGAGAGGCTATCCACACCAAACATAAATCCGAACATATCTTGCAGATAAGTTGGAGCCAATCCTAGTATGGATTTGTGAGATTTTAAATTCAATCCTCTTCTCTATATCCATTATCCAACCAGTAAAGATTGATCAGTTCATCCTCAAGATGGTAATGTTTATATTGCCTATCAACAGCTTTGGCTACGGCATTTTGTAGTAACTAGACCTGATAGGATACAAGGATACAAGGATACAAGGATACAAGGATACAAGGATAAATTTATTGAGTTCCAAAAGTGGTAATCCTGAAATAAACATTGACATCATCGGCAAGTAATGGCCTCAAAAATTATGGTCCCTTCAAGATCAAAATCAACAATAATGTTTAAATTTAGATAAGTAGGAATAATAATTTTAGCCAGTCTCGCCTATAAATACTCTCTACAAGCTGACTATCTTATTGTTCCTAATACTATGAAACTTGTCAGGCTCTATAGTTCGTTTCAGTCTCAGTTCTTCTACAAGCTTTTTATAAGCTTTTCGTTCCGTAGCAGTCCTATCAGGGTAGATGTAAACTGAGCTGTTCCCCTCCTTTGAGCGTTGTGTACTGGTGTTTCTGATCACTGGTGTTGCATGGTCAGAACTGCTCAATGTGAACTTTACTGGTCTGGATACATTTTCTTTCGGAGCTCCAATACAGCAGCAGTCCCTGACTAAAGGCTTCTCACTAATTTCATTCAGAACCTCCTCAATGTTACTCAGCAGTTGCTCGTTCTCTGATTCTGATAGACAATAAATGATTACGTTCTTGCTTCACTCAATCTGGTTTTCTACTTTTTTAACTGCAGCGTGGATCTTCTTTGGGGCCCAAGCAGCATTGATGCTTTTTCTAACAACTAAAGAGTAGCTTTTCATCTCCGTTTGCACGGTATTCTGCATTGATTTGAGCTGTTTGTTGCTTTTTTCAATAGCCTTATTCTGAAGATCGATGATAATACTCTGATCTGAAATCCTTTCACTTTTCAACTTGTCAATTTCTTCTGCAAGAGGTATCGCCTTCCTTAGCCAGGTGATACTGAACTGGTCCAATATAACAATATACAACAAACAGTTTCCAACCATTCGCATGGTTTCTCTTTCGTTACTGATCTCTTGTTCATTAAATTGCAAGATTGAATTTCCTCGTACATTTTCTTGTTGATTTCACTACAAATCTCGTCTAAAACACTCCCTGGATTTTAATAGTAGGCACAAACATTACTAATATTTTATGAGCGATTTCCACACCATCTCATTGAGCAATACTATATTAGACCAAAAGACTTTAATTTGAGTTTTAGAATTATTTATATTAGTTTTAGAATCATGTACATTAGCTGCAGATATTATTTAAAGGGGTGGGCAACAATTGACCCCCCGACAATTGACCCCCCGACAATTGTCCTCCCGAAAATATAATTCAATACAATTAACCCTAACCCTGACCCTGACCCTGACCCTGACCCTGACCCTGACCCTGACCCTGACCCTGACCCTGACCCTGACCCTGACCCTGACCCTGACCCTGGCCCTGACCCTGACCCTGACCCGATCAATTGATCCCAGTGTAATTACATGGGGGGTCAATTGTCAGGGGGTCACTTGTTGGGGGGTAAATTTTCGGGCGGTCAACTGTTGGGGGGTCAATTGTCGGGGGTCAATTGTCGTACTAAGCCCTAGATTTCGTGACAATTGACCCCAGTGTAATTACATAGGGGGTCAATTGTCGTACTAAACCCTAGATTTCGAGACAATTGATCCAGTGTAACTACATAGGGGGTCAATTGTCGGGAAGTCAATTGTCAGGGGGTCAATTGTCGGGGGGGTGTCAATTGTCGCGCTACCTATTTAAACATCCAGTTCTCTGTCCTCAAGAAACAATTTCTCGGTTGGTTGACGAAGGTTTTTAATTAATCTGAAGAACAGAAATATGTTCATATTTTCATCGCATATTGTCCAGGAGGTTATCATTACATGCTCATTGCTCCTGTAGCCTTCTCTTTTCAGTTTTGTGTAGTGTGTGTAGCTTACGTTGCAATTATCGAGCTCTCTTATCTTTTGTAACTTAGCGATAAGTTCAGTTTGCTGCTACCGCGTAGTTGGCCTTTGCGTGTGTAATTGTACATTACTATACAATGTACAAGTACACCATGGAGGATGATCTGAATTTGACCCGATCTCAGAAGAAACTCAAGGATTTCAACTATGAAGAAAAGGAAGATGTAGAGGGCTGTGCTGATAGATGGTTCACTTCGATGGCAAGCGGACTGAAATTAGAAAACTTCGAAATTCGTGGAAATATGGACCAAGAAATATTCATGTCTCCGTCTATCTATAAAAGGTATATGGCAGAATGGGTTATGCAAGCAGCAGACCTCGTACGACGGCAGAGTAGTCAGATGAGCGCTATGATGGAAATCGTTGAGTGCCTCAAGACGGAAGCACTAGCAGACAAGGAAAAGATGGTCAGGTTGCAGGACCAGTTGCTAGTGCAGAAGGACGAACAACTACAGTTGTTTAAGACGTCAGTTGAAGAGACAGTACAAACAACGGTGGAGACAGGGATAAAGAGCTACAGTGCAGCTGTAAAAAAGAACAGCACAAGTGGCGCGGTCTGCAACAGTAAAATTCTGAAGAATGTAATGAAGAGTGTGGCTGCAGAGGAGGACAGGAGCAAGAATCTGATAGTGTTTGGACTGAAAGAAGAGGATGAAGAACAGCTTCCAGCTCTGGTAACCGCAGTATTGGAGGATATCGGGGAGAAACCTCATTTCGAAGCGACTAGAGTCGGCTGGAAGAGGCCAGGTACGGCTATCCGACCAGTCAAGATCACCGTCCCAAGCTCAACAGCAGTTCATCAGATTCTGATGAAAACAGGGAGACTAAGGATGGCTGATGCACACAAAGATGTATGGATCTGTCCTGATAGATCCAGTGAAGAGCGTGCAGCAAGGAAGAACGTGGTAACTGACCTGAAGAAGAAGAGGGCTGAACAGACTCATCTCGACCACTACATCCGTAACGGGAAGGTCTGTAGCCGGGTTAAGAAGACACCATGATGACGTAATTCATGTTTCTCGGACACCGATCAGTATAATATGTACTTGTAGGAGTATTTAAGAGTTTACGGACGTTATCTGTATTTGAGAGACAATTATATTATTTACATACATTATTATTTGATTGTTTCACACTTTTCACATTTCATAATTTTATTACTAGGTGGAGGTGATGTTATTGAGACTTTGGGCGGCCAAAAAACTCCTATTTTGAAAGTTGTCCTTTGTACTTGTTTCACTGACCCACGCTTTTTAGCATTTATACATTTCGGCCCATTTTATATGTTTGTTCGAATTGCTGTACATTTGTATACTTGCTATTTTGTAAAAGTTTCAAATCAAATCAAATCAATTAGTTTTCCCAAGGTTTGACACTAGTCTGTAGTTTTTCAAGACATCTGGAAAATGATCTTCATCGATTGGGGATAACTGGTGTGATGTAAAAAAATAATTGTGGCTTATGATACCAGGGACATGTAGGTGTCAGCTAAACCCTCGATTTTATGTTTAAATACATTGTATTTATCATAAATATCATATCATATATATACAGTACACTGTGTAGCGTAGTGTTATCCTGTATTAAATAATTGTGGACACTGGCTGATAATCAGTGAAGGCAGAATCGTGGATTATAACTGATAACTACTGGTGGTGTTTTGGCTATTAGAGGGGTGTTAGAGGGCTGGGCTATTACCGTCACAGCCGGCTACTAGCCTGGTGTTAGAGGGTTGTTAAGGTTTTTGGGAGCACAGATACTTAATAGTAAGTAATATATCTTGTCTGGATGTTTGAACTTTTCGATTTGTATCTCGAAAGTTATGTTTAACTTCCCCACGCAGTGTTTTAAATGTACGATATTGTAAGATGTATAATGTCATTATTTTATAGGGGAACATCTACAAAGCTGCCATATAGCCTGACTGACAATTTTCTCGACTGACTGACAATGTTTCTTCTTTTTCCCCATTTAGAATACAAAGATTAGTACATTTTAGCTTATGATTAATATTATATTTTTACCTATAGTTTACTTAGATAGCTCCTCAAAGGATATTGTTCTTATCCACGTAGAAATCAAGTGCTCATTTTGATTGAGGTGGCAATTTGAAGTTGCAGCCCAAGATTTTATTGATTTTAATGTGGTCTATTCTTGATAAAAATATATTGCGCTACTCTTCGTTTAAACTACTTTAGCTTTAAACTGTTTAGGAGATGATTTGAAGCGGTGCTACAATCTACAGTGGTCGGTGGACAAGTGCGATGAACACCAGAGCCAGATGCTCTAGTTCATGTACTATGACTGTGACTGATTAATGTACCAGGTACCTCTGCAACAAACTGACAGTCTTACCTGTAACAGTGTAACCTGGTTAGTAAAAATTAGTTATTCTTAATTGTGTACCTTCAAGCTTTCCTCCACAATTACAACCAACTTTGAAGCAATGATTTATTGTCAGTATTTTTTATTTTGGTTACCATAATTTAAGTCACAAATTTTGCAAATTTTTAGTCTACAACAATTTTAGTCACATTTTTCGACTTTTTGAGACCATTTTCCATTTCATTTATTTGATTATTTCATTATTCACCATTAAGAATGATTTCACAAACGTCGTAAGCATTACTTTAAAGTACAGGTGATCTTCGATATTATGCAAGTTTGGTGGGATTTAATTCTAAAATCAAGGTCTTTTAACTCGATAACACGTTGCCATGGCCCCATAGCAACCACAATCAGTGCCCTAGCTACCGAGGCAAATTTGGGTGATTTACCTAATTAATCCTTGGTACTGTTTCACAATTTTGACTTCAATCATCGTCAATTTACTAGCTCACTGCTCATGCAGGTTTTTTCCAAAGTAAATTCCAAGGAAAACGTTATGGTTTGGTGTGCCATATTATAGGACAAAGGAATAAATTGCCCATATTTCTTCGAGAAAAATATAACTCAAAATTAGCCATTAAACCTTAGAACTACCAATAACTTTTCACAAAATCAAGTTTACACAAGTCATTTGTCTTAACTGCAGTTTACTTTTGTAGTAGCTGATCTAGTCGGCAATCCTAGTGAAAAAAGAGTTATTCAAAAGTACATCCTTGCAATATTTTTGAACACCCTGTAATCTGTACGCTCTGAAATCTGATTTAATACTTCAACTCTGATATCATCCAGTGCCTAATGCGATATGTTAATATTTGATTGTAGGAGACTCTCACTTAGGAGACTTCCAAAAATGAAATATTATGCACCCACTCACAAGAGCGAAAAAAGGTACACATTACTGTAGTGTGCTAATGTTTATCAAATGTTTTTATGTGCACATGCAATATAATGTTTATTTTCAAAAACTTTAACATCGCTCAATCAAAGCCTTATCAGCACAACACGCACAATCACATATCATACTTACTTTTGTTACTTTGGTTGTGTTTATCTTCGTAGCAGGAAGGGTCCTCAGATTTCTAACCACTTCGATGGCGAGTAGTCTACCAGGGAATTAGACCAGCTGGAGCTATAACCGGAAGTCGGAGGGTTATCCGGTATCAAAGCAATAAACTTGGACAAACTAACTTTAAACGACTCAAACGTAGCTTCAGCTTTAATATTATCAGGCACTTTGTTCCACAGTTTTGGTCCTCTTACAGCAAATGAGCTGTCATAGAGTGTCTGGTTGCTCGAGGAACTCAACCTAGACAGGGAAGGGATGATAGCTCGGGTACCATGTCTGGATGTTTTTGTGAACCTTATATTGCTGCAATTGGGGACAACATTGTGAAGGATCTTCCACATCATCAGAATAGTGTACCGTTCCCTTCTACGCTGCAGTGACATTAGCTTTAGATGTGAAAGCCTCTCCCAGTAGTTCATATTTTCCAGACCGCATACGGCCAGGTAGCGTAGATGGTTAATCATCGGATTTGTAATCGTGAGATTGCGAGTTCGAAACCCACTGCCTGCCTAGTCGTGGGGTGAGTGTCGTCGACATTCAGCTAAAGATCCTGAGTGGTCTATGCAGCCCCCCGGTCTACTCAGCCGAATATTCGAGAAATCGTGTGTGAGGGTTAAATGAGAAGCTGTCCATTGCAGCGAAGTCTCGGGCGAAGAAAGTATGGTACACACTACATTAACCGTCACTGGCCTAATTAAATCCTTCGGCTTCCTGTAATTGGCTAGTTACACTTGTGTAACAATGTGGCTGTTGGAATACTCCGAAGTAAAATAAGTGTGAGATTAAAAAAAATATACGATCGGTGAATGTTCGCTGGACCCCCTCCAAAAGCTGGATCTCAGTCACCTTAACAGGGTCCCACAGCGGACAACAGTACTCTAGTAGGCTTCTGACCAAAGACTTATATATAGGGTAGTCATTACGGTCCTATCACGAGTTTTGAAGACACTAAACACTCATGACAGTGTGCTTCTAGCTTTCTTGACCATCAACTTGATCTCTGCGCATCATGATAACAACCACTCGCAAGGATTGTCACTGCTCACTTCAGACACACACCCACTTCACAGTACCACGTACAGCCTGCACAGAGCTCAGCAATCAATTCTAAACGGCTAGCTGATTTTGATAAAATAACATCGTGATCCGGCGTGATCAATTATTTTAATTGAATTACAACGGCTGCACCCCTGACTTCTTAACTAAAGATAAGAGACGCATATATTAGGACATTTGTAATCTGATTAAATTTAAAGTTTTGGTGTGTGAATTAACGCTTGATGTTAGAATTAGTGTGGAAATAAAAGAGATATTTATTTTATTATTTATGAATTATATCATATATCTTAATTAGGTGACAGTATTATTATTTTAACTACAGATTATATTATTTCAGTTAGTATCGACATAAATTTTACGATTGCAGTTTATTTTTATATCATTAATCATATTGTATTCAATAAACCGGTTCCAAAGCCCTTAGGGGGGCCCTCGGGTCTTTAAAACATAATTTGTGGGGTCACGTGGTACCGACATGCTTCAGAGGATAGATGGACGTGTTCAAACCTGGTTGGTGGTTTTGTTTCATTTTTCCCACTCATTACTTCTGGGCCCCCAGATTGAAATCTGTAACATTTTAAGAAAAACTGAAACTACTGACAAAAACTAGACCCTTTGACTGAGGGCACCCTTGAATCAGAATTTTTGTAACATATTCAGGTCCTGAGATATAGCAGTTTAGTTGGGGGCCCTGGATATTGAATTTTGTAACACATTTCTATGTTACACTTTTTCAATGGGTTTTTAGAGAAGCTTCTTGATAGTTTTTCAAGTTCAGACCAGTTTTTTTAGGTCACAAAGGGTTCCATCAACCATATTCTTGACCAAATTTTGTACTTGGGCCCAAAACATTGAATTCTGTAACATATTCATGTTTTCACTGCCAAGGTCATATCTGGAATATTCAATGTATTTTTGTATTGGTAACATGGTTTTTAGATTCTCATACAAAATTCTGAAGCAATCCTTATTCATATAATTTGATAAAATGGCTGCGGAACTTGAATTATGTAACATTAGAAAGTAAGTGTATAGAGTATGTACCCTAGTGTGAGGGGTTTTAGGTAAGCTATATTATAGTTTTTGAAGTTCAGACCAGTTTTTCCAGGTCACAAAGGATTCCATCAACCATATTCTTGACCAAATTTTGTACTTGGGCCCAAAACATTGAATTTTGTAACATATTTATGTTTTGACTACAAAGCTCATATCTGGAATGTTCAATATATTCTTGTACTGGTAACATGGTTTTTAGATTCTCATACAGAATTGTAAAGCAATCCTTATTCGTATAATTTGATAAAATGGCTGCGGAACTTGAATAATGTAACATTAGAAAGTAAATGTATAGAGTATAGTATATAGTATGTATCCTAGTGTGAGGGGTGTTAGGCAAGCTATATTATATTTTTTGAAGTTCAGACCAGTTTGCCTAGGTCATAAGGGTTCCATCAACCATATTATTGACCATATTTTGTACTTGGGCCCAAAACATTGAATTTTGTAACATATTTATGTTTTGACTACAAAGCTCATATCTGGAATGTTCAATATATTCTTGTACTGGTAACATGGTTTTTAGATTCTCATACAGAATTGTAAAGCAATCCTTATTCGTATAATTTGATAAAATGGCTGCGGAACTTGAATAATGTAACATTAGAAAGTAAATGTATAGAGTATAGTATATAGTATGTATCCTAGTGTGAGGGGTGTTAGGCAAGCTATATTATATTTTTTGAAGTTCAGACCAGTTTGCCTAGGTCATAAGGGTTCCATCAACCATATTATTGACCATATTTTGTACTTGGGCCCAAAACATTGAATTTTGTAAGTCCATAGATGGACATGGAACTCTGCCATTTCAGTGGATAAACTCGTGACCTGGCATTTTATTGTTACAAATTTCAATATATAGGGCCCAATTTCTATTTTCTATAAAATTTGATATATAAATTAAAAGTTTTTAAATATCCAACCTTTAATCTAATTAGCTATATTCATTTGATTAAATTTACCGCGTTCTGTCGCGGATTGTCAATTTAAATTACATTACATTTAAATTGTTACAAAATTCAATAATTTGGTCCCAATTATCATTTTTTTAATTTGTTAAGTTGTTTCATGTCTTTATTTTAATGCATCAACCAACTTAAAACCAATACTAGATCAAACAACACTGTATAACATACTCTTTTGTAACCATGTTACGTTATTCAAAGAAATGGGCCTTTTATTGATTATGAACCATATACCAAGATTGTAGTAATGCCTTTATACAAGAATTGCTGCACTAATAACCTGGTTTGAGGGTTAAATACATTTTATGTTACAAACTATAAAGATAGATTCATGAAAACAAGATGTTACAAAATGTCCATTTTGGGCCTTTTTATGTAATCAAAAGTGGGCCTTTTTTCATTCCACAGCTAAGCAAATACCTAAAGTACATTTTTGTGAAGCAAGAATCTTTAAAATTTAATAATTGGCTGAGCCATTGAAAAGTGTAACCAAATGTTACATTTTTCAACATAACTGGGCCATTTTACAATATTATTCATAGCCGATGACCTGAGACTATTTGTTATCACAATTATAGTCATCTCTGAAAGTTTCAAGACCATCGAGTAATTATTAATGGAGTTATTGTAAAAATGAGAAAATCGCCCATTTTGGCAGTGAAACAAAACCACCAACCAGGTTTGAACATGTCCAGATAGAGACTCAGAATTTTAACCACAAGTCTAAATTCTTTTCATAAATCTAGACTTGTGGTTACAATTCTGAGGGTTTCGTACTATTATAATTCACAGAATTATCCTGCTGTTCAAATATTGACAGAAAGGAAAGGTGTTTAGGAGTCGAATTGCTACAACTTCAGAATTCAGATTGCATAACAATTGTATAACTTCAGATTGGAGGACGGTCTAGGGAAGGATATAAGAATTAAGCTTACTTCACAGCTATACTCTACAAAAGTACCTTCAGCGAAATAAGACGTCAACATCCATCTTGTTTATATCAATGATTGTGGAAATTGCTTTTGTATTCTTTGTAATTTAATTCTTTAACGTTGTATTCTCTTAATACATTACGTTTGCTAGAATTCTTGTGTGTAAGCTTTAGAACTCTAGATGTCATACAGAGATTTACGGCCAAGTGTCAACCCGGGGTTTGAAGCACGTTATACTAGTTTCAACTTTTATCAAACTGATCCACCGATTTCAGCTATGACATTTTTATTTTTGATCAAACAAATGGTTTGTATTGTATGCCGATAAAAATGCTGCCAATGAACACTAGGCAAGGGTATAACTTGTATAATGCGTACATCCGTATATTTTTAATACCACTAACTGATCGCATATTTTTAATACCACTAACTGATCGATAAATTGGCTATCCGCTGTATTTCGAATAATCAGTGAAGAAATTCAAATTAAAATATTATGCTATATTAATTATTATTACAGAGATAATTTTGAACACGTGCGTTAAAATTAAAATTTGATTTGAATCGTAAAATCTGTTTTGCTAGAGCAGGGGAATTAGATGATTAATATTTTTGAGATAAATTGAGATACATTGGGGTCTTTAATTGATACTTGTTTCGAAACGTTTTGAATTCAATTTCGTGCTTCGTTTACATGCTGGTCGAATAAAACTAAAGAGTGTTCTAGACAGAACAATGAGATTACAAATCATTAGACAGGTTAACAGTTACGAATGTGATAATGGCCCGATAATTTGGGATTGAGATTTTGTTTGTAAGCATCTAACTTTTTATACACAAATCTTGGTTGATATATTATAAGTTATAACCTGATCAATGGAATTATAGACCAAAATCACGTGTATCATTTCTACACTTATTCATCTGTGTTTTGAAATAAACGGGAATCAATACATATACAATGTACCTAAAGATTTTGTTCTCCGCACACTGCGCTCCAAGTTTGAAATATACCTTTATTTAAATAAGCCGTCCAGGTATAATAGGGGCGAACAAAATCAGACCGCATACGAGCAGGGTATGGCAGCCTCATGACTATTATTTTCAAATTGTCCAATATGCCGACAATTCTTTATGCTATCGGCGTGTTTTTGGTCCCAAGGTGGAGGTCATATGATGCTGAGCTTGGATAACTAATTTGGTGTAATGAGCAAACACTTCTAGTGGTCGCATGCAGAGGGTGTGGATCTCGTTAACGGGCCTCATTAACAGCTTATCACGCAGGTGGATACGGTTTCTGATTAAGAGCAGAAGCATTAAATTAAACACACAAATCAAATTATATGACAGAATTAAGTCATTGGTCTATATTTTGAGACAAGTTAGTCAGGCAGTGGTTCACACTATGGTGATACCTAGTGAGATTTGTGGTGTCTCACCATTACTTATGGTTGAGTGTGTCCCACAACTAAGCACATTGCCTAGAAGTCCTACATTATATATTATATGTATCTGGACATAAGTGGCATGTTGCTCTAGAAACCAAACCAAAATATTTTGTGATACATATATCTGGCTTAGCTTGAGCTGGGAACGCGCAGTGGGGCGCGCATGTAATTGAACAAGTAAATTAACTTACTGTAACACGCGGAGACATTTTCGTGCAATTTCAAACGAACTCATTTCGTTTTTGAGTGAAGTTTTTTAAAAACGATGGCGGATATGAGCCATGACATTCCGATTCAATATTAAAATGGAAAATGATTTGACGTCGGTTTTTTTTTTCAAATCGATTCGAAAAATATTGAATCGGAAAAAAAACGATGGCGGATATGAGCCATGACATTCCGATTCAATATTAAAATGGAAAATGATTTGACGTCGGTTTTTTTTTTCAAATCGATTCGAAAAATATTGAATCGGAAAAAAACGATGGCGGATATGAGCCATGACATTCCGATTCAAAATTAAAATGGAAAATGATTTGACGTCGGTTTTTTTTTCAAATCGATTCGAAAAATATTGAATCGGAAAAAAAACGATGGCGGATATGAGCCATGACATTCCGATTCAATATTAAAATGGAAAATGATTTGACGTCGGTTTTTTTTTCAAATCGATTCGAAAAATATTGAATCGGAAAAAAACGATGGCGGATATGAGCCATGACATTCCGATTCAATATTAAAATGGAAAATGATTTGACGTCGGTTTTTTTTCAAATCGATTCGAAAAATATTGAATCGGAAAAAAAACGATGGCGGATATGAGCCATGACATTCCGATTCAATATTAAAATGGAAAATGATTTGACGTCGGTTTTTTTTCAATCGATTCGAAAAATATTGAATCGAAAAAAAAAACGATGGCGGATATGAGCCATGGCTTATATCCGCCATCGTTTTTTTTTCAATTCAATATTTTTAGAATCGATTTAAAAACGATGGCGGGCATGAGCCACCATACTCGCCAGCACTGTTATACGAAATTCGGTAAAAAACCCAAAATCGCCATATTCAGGAGCCTTAATATTAATAACCATGTTAAAATCGAGTTAGAGATCTGAAATTTTTCAGAGCGTCTAGACGTTGACCAAATCGACTGCAAAAAAAGTTTCAGGTCTCAGGATCATCGGGAAATGGGTTTTCTAGAACCCCTGTTTTACGATAGATTGTCGTGATACATACATACATACATATAATCAGGGATAGACGCTTTGCCAGTCAAATGTAGCCTGTTTTTAATTGTCCATAGATTCAAAAGTATAAAAGATACAGCAATTTCCGACCACAGGTCTTGAAAATAATTGTTTACAATTTAGTTTACATTGTATAAACAAATTATTTGACGTCATGAACACCCCTTGATGACGTCATCAAGTTAACCGTTTTTAAAACTTGATTTTTGACAAAGTAATAACTTTTAAAAATGATTTTACACCATTAAAAAGTAATTGAATTCAAAATCTGAGGAATTTTTTAGGCAATTGTTCAAGCATTCTGAAAATCTACCGGAAAGTTTTTCTAGCTTGCTCCTTCATAAAGATATTCGTGATTGAAGTTTGTGCTTTTTTGCAGAATTATTTTATAAAAACGTCAATTTTGCGATTTAGTATTCTTTGGTGTTGGGCCATGCCTTGGGTTGTGGAGCTCAGTTCTGCTTCCTATAGGTATAAATTGTGCATTAGGCTAGTTTTAAAGTTGAAAATCGAAAAGTTGCACACGTGGGGACACGCCCAAACTGATAGAAAATTGCTAAAATCACTGAAAATTGCTGTTTTCGTCATTTTCTGTCAACTTTAGAGTGCCGTTGTGATTACAGTTCTTCTTGAAATACTTTGAAACTTTGCATGCTTATCAAGCTATATATAAAACAATTACACGCAAAAATTTACGGCGATTCAATATTGGATGCGCGGCACGCAACGTCCGCTCAAAGTTTGCACGTGCGAAAAGTGAGAATTTTGCTCATTCGTGATTTCCAACAAATTCTGCTTTTTAATGTCATTATATATGAATTTAATGCCAACTTGAATGAGTATAAAGTGGCATATTCAGTCAGTGATCGACCGATATGCTTACCTAAACACAAGGAAATGTTTTTAAAGGAAAAATTTCTAAATCGTGGAAACTTCCTCCTTATTCATATTAATGAAGATATCAGTTTATATTTCGACGTTATAAAGTACCCTGACATTATAATCAAAAAGAGATGATATTTTACCAAAACCCATAATCATGGGTAGAGTGGACCGCTGCCAGTGTCTCTCTTTCTCAAACAAAAGGAAATGATATTAATTTGATTGACCGTTCTCAAATGCAAAATGATACCGAGAATGAAATCGGTCCCTCGCTTTTCCCATTCATTTACAATTGTAATAGATTAAGAAGAACTACCCAAAGGCATCTGGGGTGGCAAAGAAACGTTATATAAATCTTTATTCCACTGGGAAGTTTTTAAAATAGGATAATGTTTTTGATAAAATTGTTTTTAAATATTGTATTTGATAAATAATTAATGTTGGTGGGGAAATATTTATTATATATTTTTTCACACAGTGCAATGATATTTTGTAGACATGTGTGATGATGTGATGTCATACATTTTACTTACTTACTTACTTACTTACTTAAATTTGTTACTAAGTAAATTACTGAATTTGCTGGCAATGTTTTTTGATTCATTTATTAATTAATTAATTGTTACAATTTAGTATTTGAATTGATTCATGGCTTTTAGGGAGGTATCGAATATAAATCCATGCCATTGTCCTTTATTATACTAATATTCACTCTTAAGACTTAATTACATTTTAGCATAACCACAATTGTGACTGAATTAGACAGAATGAAACTCAATAGAAGTACCATGATCCTTGGTGAAATCATTTCTCTTGTTCCGTATTGTAAACATCATGTTGAAAAGTATCACATGTGGATGCAAGACAAAGATCTACAGCTTCTTACTGCTTCTGAACCCCTATCACTGACCGAAGAATACCAAATGCAATTATCATGGCAAACGGATGAAGACAAGTTAACTTTTGTTGCCATCAGTGGTAGCTCAATTCCCCAGACTGTGGAAGAAGAAGTTTCCAGGATGATTGGTGACATCAATTTGTTTTTATATTCTCGCCAGACATTGCTGAAATCAATATGATGGTGGCTGAAAATAAATTTAGAAGAGGTGGGTATGGTACGGAAATACTTAACTTGATGATGAGCTATGCTGTAGATCAACTGAACATTACTAAATTTTCCTGCAAAAATAACTAATTCTAATCGACCAAGCATGAATTTTTTCCAAAAGAACACATTTAGCTTGGAATCTGTTTGCGAAGTTTTTCAAGAAACTAATTTCGAACTCCTGCCACTGAGGTAACATCATTCAAATATAGACAAATTGTATACCCATTTTATCAGCCAGAAATTTAAATCTTTTATTTAACCCATTTAACATGATATTATTTGTATTTAAAACCTCCCATATCTAAGTTACCTATCTAACAGACAGCAGTACGTTTTAGTTTTAGGTGAGGGATCTGATAAACTACCTGTTATTTGTGGAGTACCACAATTTAGTGTTTTAGGACCGCTACTGTTTATAATTTATATAAACTAGCAGGAACCCGTCTAACCCTAAAATGGTGTCAAGACTGAAGAGACTAAAACAATTATTACCTATTTAATTCGCGTTTTTGACACCACTTGGGGTACCAAATTTTATTATTATTATTATAACTTATCAGACCTAGGAAAATTTATACTTTTCGCTGATGACACCAATATATCGACAAATCGATAAGTCGACAAATCTGTCCAGAATCTCTACCAAAAAGCAAATACTATAATGAATTCTGTTTACAATTATATGAAATGTTGAACTTCAAGTTTTGTTTTACTTAATATTTTCATTATCAATTGCATGTTTAAATGATGCCCAATGCCCAATTAAACATACAAGTTAGGGAAATACATTATATGCTGTAATGGATGAGTCCAGATCATTGAATTATCATCAGAAAATACGATGTTTGTTATCTATTTATTTGTAGGCATTTTCAATCAAGCCATTTGTTTCAGGACTTTAGCAATGTTCAGCCATACAGCCAAGATGTAAAGGGTCTGAAAACTCAAAAGCTGTTTGCTGTTCTGATTCCATGTCCACGGATGGGTTATTCCGGCTTCTTGAATCAGAACACTGTGATGCTTACTACACAATTTACTACCTATTCCATTCCAAAAGCAATGAAGTCAGGGAATTCTTAGGAACAAAGCTATTTAATCTATCAGAAACTGAACTGGAGTTTTTCCTACCCCAACTGCTACATCTGTACATCAACTATTCTTTTGTTGCGGACCATATTCACTCCTACCTCCTTTGTCGCTGCTTGAATGATGATATTTTTGCTTTAAAAACGGTTTGGTGGTTGAAGTCATGCAGTCAAGACGAATGGATGAACCCTGATGCAAAGCGTAGAGGACTCAGATTATTGGACATTATTATATCAAACGACATGAAATCTAAAAAGGGGACTAGTCCTGGAAAGTCATCTTCACCAGGTATTTGAAGTAATAAATTAGAAGTTTTCAATGTTTGTGTTTCACCTATAGCTCAATATTCCTTTTGTAATAATAGCAGATTACTTAATCAAGGAATTGGTCAGGGGGAATTTGGTCAGGGGTTTGAAGTTTTGCTGTAAATCTAAAATATCTCTAACAGGACAATGCAACCTTTTTCAGGAGCATCACTGCTGAACCTATATGAAACAGAAACCCTAAAAAGAAGCAGTTCAACTCACTCCCTCTCCATATCACCAACTCAACCCCACGTGACAACCACGCCCAAGTTCGTGCGGACACATTCCAGATCCAGATCAGATGACAGTGGTCTGATAAACTTTATACCTATTTTGAGAAGTGCCAGCACCCAACACTTGTCCGATTTAGCATCAGGTGATTTGTCGTTTTACAATTTACATGTTGGTTGTTTTCCCTGGCTTAGAATCATAGACTTTAATTGCAGTTTCGAAATTTGTTTATCATCAATAAGATCAATTGATTAAATTCGATACATCTGATTAAATTAGATACATCTGATTCGATACATCTGATTAAATTAATTAATTAATTAAATTAAATGTGCAGGCGGAGCATTTGAACTGGACTGCTCAAACTGTCTAAACTCCTCCACCTTCTGGTCGTGTAGAAGTCACGTGCCTCGGTTGACAGTCCTACAGAACTTTGTCCAATCCTTCCTAAACATATGTGACAAACTCGGACCACTGGCAACCAAAGAGGACAAAATGAACAAGTTACACGCCGAACTGGGCATCATAAATCTCAACCTTCCAGCTAGAGTTAAAATCCCCACAATCGGTGCCAAACACTACGACATAGTTCGAATTCCACCAAACCAAGGAATCGTACTAAACTCAAAAGAAAGGATCCCATATATGGTAAACATAGAGTATGTAGAACGGCACAGCTCTGACTCCCCACTCCCGGCGCGGTGTACCAGAAACAACGACCCTGCCACGCCCCTAAAAACAGATAACGACCCATTTCAAACAATATCCGCTGCTTCAATCCGGAACAATCTCTCAACCCAATCAGAAAGTGAATGCCCCAAGTTTTCTTACGATAATAGTGATCCGTCAGCTAGCAGGTTAAAGGAACAATGGGAACTGACAGTTCAGCGAACAAAGCAGTTCTCCCCATACGGCCATCTACCTGGCTGGAATCTCCACTCGTGTATCGTTAAATGTGGGGATGATTTGCGGCAGGAAGTGGTGGCGTACCAGTTACTGAAACAGTTCCAGAAAGTATGGCTGGAGGAGAAACTAGAGCTGTGGCTGTACCCGTACTCGGTAGTGGTGGTCAGTGAGGATTGTGGGTTTATTGAACTCATACCAAACACTGTTTCCATTCATCAGGTTAAGAAACAGAGTAAGCTATCCCTCCTGGGTTATTTTATCCAGGAGTTTGGTTCAGTCACCTCCGAGTCCTTCCTTACTGCTCAGAAAAACTTTGTTCACAGCCTGGCTGCGTACTCTCTCTTTTGTTACTTCATCCAAGTGAAGGACAGGCACAACGGCAATATACTGATAGACAATCAAGGTCACATAATTCACATAGACTACGGGTTTATGTTGTCTCATTCTCCGGGCCGGAACATAGGGTTTGAGAACTCCCCTTTTAAGTTGACTGAGGAGCACGTCGAGGTGCTGGGCGGACAGGACAGTGATTTATTCAACTACTTCAAACAGCTGCTTCTCAAAGGATTCCTAGCTGCTCGGACACATTTCGAGCGCATCAAGTTGATTGTTGAGGTTATGCAGTTGGGGTCACAGTGGCCGTGTTTCAACCGCCGCGCTGCAACGGTACACGATCTGCAAAATAGGTTCTTTTTGAACCTGACGGAGGAACAGTTGTCTAAGCAGATTGATGGTATGATTTATCAAGCTCTGCGGTCGCTGACTACTAAGTTGTATGATAATTATCAGTATTTTACTGGTGGTATACTGTGAGGATTTAGCAGGATTTAGCAGGATTTAGCAGGAGAATGGTAGGAGTGTCACAGATAGGATCGGAGTGTCACAGAATCTTGAGAAATGTCGCAGAATGTTAAGAATTCTGCAGAGAGCTGATTTTGCAGAATTTCTATCGTCCGATTGTGTATTATAATAGTTGAAACCGTCTTTTGGTTACGCATTGTAAATGAAATAGACTAGTATTTTTTGGTTATTTTTGTACATGTTTATTTTATGTGGCTGCGCTACTTCAACTGTTTTAGAGCAGAGATGTTTATTGATTGGTAAAGTTGATAAGATGTTGCGTTTTCTACTTGATATATTATTTATAGCATTCTTGGCATAGTTCCATTGAGTGAATAGTTGAGACTACGCATAGAGAATTTACAAATAGTTGAGACTACGTAGAGAATTTACAAAGATTTTATTCAAGGCAGACAGTAATAGGAAAATGTTTAATGACTAGATTTATTTTCACTTTTAATCCCTTTCCATCTGTAAGTTACATTGTTTCACGAATTGACCATGTTGGTTAATGGTTAGGAATGCAAATGGTTTAGAATATGTCTGATATAGTTCCTATAGTCTAGTTAGTAGTTTTAGAAATTTAAAATAAGTTAAAAGTAAAATTGTTTGTTATTTTGTACTCGGTAAAACGTTTTTTGAACTAAAAATATTTATCTGATCCAATGGTCAGAGTTACAAGATATTTCTTCTAATTTTCATATTCTTTAGCGGAGTATGGATTACTTGTAACCGTTAGTAACCGTTAGTAACCGTTCAACTGTGATATTTGATTCGTTTATTGATTGAAAAAGTCGTTTGATTGGCGTTTCCCAACTAGTCAATTATGCTTATCTATACTTAAATTGAATATTCAGTCAAGTAAAAGTAGCCTTAGCCTCTTTATGAAATGTTGGCACGTGACTGAGAATGACCAATCACCGAATCTCTGTCTTACATAAAAACACCTATAACAGTCACATAAATTTAGGCTACTGCAACTGTAAATTATCCTACACTTTTATAGCAATTTGCTTTTACAAGAGTCAAAAGTTATGATTTATTGGTTAATTAATTAGCTAATTAGTTAATTAGTTAAAATTAAGTTAATTATCTAACAGTTTTATTTGGTAGAGTATGTCAGTGGAGATAATAGAAGCTCAGGAGCAGCTGCAGCGGGCTAGGGACAACTTGCGCCATGTTGAGGAGGGGATTAAGAAAACTGCTACATCTTCAAATCTTAGGTTGGTACTTTATACCTATGCTATGTAGAGGGGGTCCAAGGGGAACTTTGGGAAAGTCCCCCAAGATTTCTGAAGTTCCCCAAAAAAAATTTCCTCCAAACTCCCCAAAGTTCCCCAAAATTCCCCAAAATTATTCAAAATTTCTCTAATTATATACATTAATACCCATTAATGTTAAATTGTATGTTATTATAAGGTATTGAATCTTAACTTACTTGTTGATACTTGCAGCATGATAATTTTTTTGGCATGATAATTTTTTTGGGGAACTTTGGGAAAGTCCCCCAGGTTTCCTGAAGTTCCCCAAAAAAAAGTTCCCCAAAGTTCCCCTTGGACCCCCCCCCCCCTATGTACAATGTACATATTACATTGATATGGATGCCTGACTGTGACTGTCTGACCTTTTGTATTATCTTTCAAAACCCATTAGATAATATGAGATGTTTTGAGTTTTATCTCATTACTATCAGACACCAAACACCATTTGACTTTTGAGTTGATAACCTAATCACTAATTCGTATAAAATGTGTTGGAGTTTCTAGTATAAAAGATTTTAATTTCTTCAGATTTGGAGATAAGGATGCGGGCAGGGGTAGACCTGGCAGGGGCAGACCTGGACGCTTAATGGGTCGTCTTGGTGGCGTCCAGAGGTATTTACTGAGTTTTAATTTTAACATTTTAAACTTTAGTCTTAGGGTACGGTTTTACTTTTATCAAATAAATCAATAATCAGATTTCTTAAAATGTATACAACAGTTTCAATACCTTGCTCGATAATATCAATACTAAAATTAGTATTAATGCTTTTCAAACAAAGTTACACCGAATTCTTCATGTAGTACATCCTGGGTTTGGACAGGATATGCCCGTTTAAAATATTTCCATCACGTTACATTACATAATTCTCAATAAATGTAATAGATTTGTAGTTTTGTTATTAGTTTAAAATTAGTTAATTAGTTTAAAACTATGATAAACATGTGCAGGTTCCGGGCAGAGAACGATAACAGTGTGGACAGTGAGCCCCCTCTCAAGAAATCCCTATCCTCCGTGGCAAGGTATTAAAGTTTAAACCTAGTTTTATCTTATAACATTGGGTATTTTGTAAATTAAATAAATGTTTAATATTAATAACACTTGGTAAATTTGGTGGCTAGATCTAAGAAAATCATAGACGATCTAAATAATTAATTTTATAAAATTAATAACATATTTCTTTTGATAGCAGGTTGGGTCCCTTGAACATCGAGAACAAACCTGACAATGATAATGACGATGACGCTGTGAGTATTATTAGCTAATATATTTTATTTTGAAATATAAACACGATTATGAGCAAAAGCCGACTTTTTACTTTCAACATTATAATTGTTGCAAAATTTATTCATTTATTAAACAAAAATCGATAAATCTTTAGATAATTTTTTATGATTTTAATCGCTCAGTTTTAATCTTATTTTTAGCCGACTCTGAAATCGACTGTTACCTTGAGCCAGATACAAGATAGAGATTCTGCTAGTTCTATTGTAAATGATGCAAAAACTCTGAACAGGTACCTTTAAATCTCATTAAACTATATAAAAAATAAGTATAAAGAATAAGGAAAAGGAACGGGAATGAAGCCAATACCAGAAGTGAAACCCCACCAAAGAAGAATTACACTTTACAATTACACTTTACTTTTAATTTACATTTATTAAAATAATTAATTTTTAAAGTGTTTACTTTGTGATATAACATCGATAATTAATGGTGTTAAAATAGTTGCCATGAAAGAAGCTTGTTCTTATAATCGTGAGCCTTCAATTTATCCAGTTCTTGCGTCCACCCCAAAACCTAGACAAAATTTAAATCGGCATAGATGTAAATTGTACTTAACTAATTATACCATTACATTGTTTTATTGTGTAATTAAAGTTTTATTTCATCATGTAATTTAAATTATATTGTCCAGGTCAAAGCGTTTGTTTGGTAGCCTTTTGATGGGTACCTTGCGTCAGTTCAAACAAGAAAAAGAGAAAACCAAATCATCGGTTTGTTTTAAAAATCAATTAGTTTCTGTTACGATGGAATCCTGTTAAAATTCTCGATTTACAAAAATGTTGAATTGAACAGATATTTATTCCGACATATCCAAATCCTTCAAAAGTGTCTAAATAAAAGCATTAATTATTGATGTTGTGTGTCTCAAATGTCTTTCCCTCAAATATTTCAAAAAATGTTGCTATTTAGGTCATAATCAATAATGTCATGTTACTTAATTGAAAACAATGGATATAAAATCAATTCCAATAAAACGATCCCTCCTCAACCCTGCTCGATCCCATTACTAGGAGTCAAAGCAAGCAAAAATGTGGGACAAGATAAATCAGAAGGAAGCGGAGCAGGTAGCCTTGACAGCTGCAGATAGGAGACGGTTGGAGACGGCCAAGGACGAGGTTAACCAAGAGATTCGGCTTCTGGAGGAGAAGATGGAACTTGCAGAGATGGTGAGTTGATCTGTTGGTTGGGATAGGAAGTTGGAGTAATCCTTGTTCTTTGATACCTTGTTAAGTACTTTGGGGTAGAGGGGTTCTCACCCAACAGCCTTACCGAGATAATCCATACCCTTTCTCTGTTATATAGTGAATAACCGAGTAGACCGTTCAAAATAAAAGTAGACGTTTTTTCTATGTCAATCGAAATCGGATGTAATCATTGTAATATTACGACTCTTTTGTTAACGCCGGCGCAGATTTCCTTCCAGGCCCATATTTAACATGTATCTTGGTGCCGCTTGAGAGTTGCTGACTATTCTGGTCAAATTCTTATCACTTTTCCTTCCTGGGCGGATAAAGATCATATTAATACTTTGATTGATTGTATTAAACATTAAGTAAATTTCAGCCGTCAGTTCACTCATAAATTTGCAATTAATTTGTATTAAATTAAGGTTATTTAATTTTAATTCGATAGTTATTTTCCAAAGATTCAAATGAACCAAAACCTCATTAACCTGATACCAATTGCAACATCAACCTCGTCTTTTCTCTTAAAAAGTTTCTGAAACTCCGTACAGTCATACTATAAATGAAAAAGTTTGACATAACGTTCACACTCAGCATGGTACAAGCACATCTGTAAAACACCAGCTGGAACATACTCCATTTAACAGGGTCTTTCTCCAGAAAAGGTTCTACCAAACCGTAGATATTATAAGGCAGAATTGCGAAACTGTAGATAGTTGCTACTAGCACCAGCGTTAAGGATCCCTGCCATCTTAACGTAGTGTGGGTTATCTTCATTGCTTTTCTGAATAACAGGACTGTGGACACAATGATAGCGATACTTGGCACAGAGCCCATTAGGACAAAACTGGCAGGTTTAAGCCATTTCCAGGTTCCCGCGAAAAACCCATAAGAGCAGTTATATTTACGGAGGTCAAAAACCACATCGGTTGAACTCACAAGATACTGTGTTATGGGTAGTCCCAGGCAGAACAGCCAGATACCTCCGCATACCTTGTGGGTTTGGGTACACGTCCATGTTCGGCCTTTAAGAGGAGAAGAGGGAAATGCAGCATCAGTAGCTTACCTGTTGTCATGCCACCTATCAAGAAACAGCCCACAGGTAGACAGTAATAGCTGGAGTAGGTTGTAACATTGCAGGTGATATCACCTAAAACCCAGCCGTCAGCTAGCAGTGAAACTAGCCCCGGGGTTATGTAGGTCACAGCCAGGATGAGATCACATGAGGCAATGTGCTGCATGAAGACAACTGTTACTTTTTGTAGTTTTATAGCTTTGTATCTGATGGTGGCTAGTAAGATTATGGTGTCTCCCAGAAGAGATGATAAGAGTACTAGTATGGTCCATGTGATCCAGATGTAGCGGACTAACTCGTTCTTTAGACCAAGTGTGGTGTAGTCGGAGTAATTGATAGTTTTGTTCATGTGGCTGACAGTGGGGTAGTTAGAATTTAGAAAAGCAGATGGAAAATGTCTTGTTGGACAATCGATACAAAACGTGTAATCCAGCACTATGTATAGTAATAGCAAATTTATAACCGGAACAATCTGACAATCTAAACCTTTAGTTGCCGGCACGGCACTCATAGAGTTATTAAAGTTGCAATAGAATGGAAATTTAACAGCCTTCATTAGTGGTCCGAGAAGTACATGTGACGAACGAATTTTCACAAAATATAGCTATGCAAGATAATCAACAACCAAGCCAGTAAATCAACGGAATGCCATCCCAGGATATCCTGTATAACAAAGAATAATGTCGATGTCGATTGTACAGACAATACAATTAGTACCAAGGCGTGTATAAAATTGCGGGTAGTTTGAGTGATCCGGCATTCCTTTGTATAAACTTTGAGAAATGTAAAAACAATTTTTTATTAATAAAAAGTCATCAATAATAAATTTACACATAATCAAACTTAAACCCAAATAACACTCTGCTCAAAAGCGGACATATGATCCCGAGGATTGAACTTGTATCCGTACACCTCTCCATCATTTAGGGAATTCATATCATCATCTACAATATCCTGGTACATTCCGTTACACTCGGAGATAGAAAGCCCGAGCTTGTGTACTGTACAAGTTTCCTCGTGGTCCGCTATCAAGGATGAGGAGTGGATAGGAGCTCCCATCTCAGATATCTCCGATAATTGCCGAGCTTGAGGGAAGGGCTGGTTAACAGAGAGTTGGTGAGAGTTAGGGTAGGAAGGAGCTGTGAGTCGTCTTGGTCTGATGTGGGTGTAGGAAGTACGAGGGTAGGCGTCCTGTTCCGAAAATCTCCTGTGTTGGGAGATTCTTCTGTGTCCGCTCTTTCTTACTGGGGTTATTTGGGGTTGGTGAGGACATCTAGTGCTGAAGGAACAGTTGCAGAGGTGAGCCACCATGGCATCCAGGACATCTTTGTGTACCAGGGCGTGTGTGAAACAGCTGGGGTTGTACAGCTGTGGTTGGGTGGGGGTAACATGGTTGTCCCTGGGGTTGTATCGTTCTGTGGGAGTAACATGGTTGTCCCTGGGGTTGTATTGTTCTGTGGGTTCGGTGGGGGTAACATGGTTGTTTCTGTAAAAGGAATGGTGAGGAGAATTAGCTTTTCTAGTATTCTTCTTAAAATACCTTTTCTTGGATAGGTTCTTCTTGGAGGATTGTTTGGAAGAACAGCACTGACCCATTGTTTGTTGGAAGATGTGGTAAAAGTAAAACTGTAGCTGTAAAAGGTAATAAAAGATTGATGATGATATTAATTAGATAATACAGGTATTTATAATGTTCTGTAGCTTTGAGCTTTGTTTGTAACACGTGGAGTTGACACCATGTAACGAGAACTGATATGGACACCGTGTAACGAGAACTGATATGGACACTGTGTAACTGATATGATCCACATTGAACAGGATCGGGGTGCACTCTGTAGCAGTCTGGTTGACACCTCCCAATACCCAACTTGGTGATGTGCTGACACCATTATATTGGGTATGATTTGAGCCATTATTCTCAGCTGAGTACCAGGCATATCCTATTATTCTAGAACTAAAGAAAAACCAAAAGAAAAAAACCAAAGAAAAACCAAAGAAAAACCAAACTCAGACAATATCGCTAATGAGGACTATGCATACTGTAAAAATTAATACAAATATCAATATCTGTATACGAATATGCGAACATATACCCCCGTGTTACGAAGTCCATGACTACAACTACTATATCAGTACTACCTCAAGTCCATGAGATTAGTCTATGATAGAACTACCTTCATCACTATGTTTATATATTGCTTTAACTGATAAACATGGGAAAAGTGTCAATGAATGTTTAACATTCAGAAGTACACACTAAATGACAGAATTAAGCAAACGTTCCCTTAAACACAGCTACTAAATTATTAACTTAAATAAAGGCGTCTTATTAGTTAAAGAGAGAGTCACGAAAGTTTGTATATTATTAATAACTTAGTAGTCAAGGGATCAATAACTTGAATAATTCAGTTCAGATTTACGGTTAAATTCTACCTCTTTGTTTACTCCAATGGGTAGTTGATGAAAATTGTATTATTCAAAAGACATTGCTTTTATCGTTTATTTTCTACCAGTTTTACAGGAAATATTTTAAAACAACGGGTGTCATCATCCTTTATTAACGTCCCTTTTCATTTTCTCTTCTGACACGTTGGAAATTAGCTCCGTAATAAACTCCCTCAAGAATCAGACTTTTTGACTATCTTTTCCGATCTAAACATTACTGAGACCAGTTGGTAAAACAAAACCATCACCTGTTTACTCCATTTTAGGTATCAAAGTAGAAGTCCAATTACGGTCAAACAACGAAACGGAGATCGTAGCGCAGTCAGACAGTGAGCCAGAAAACATGGATCAAGAACAAGCAACTAAGGTGGACAGTAAATCTCCCACTAAAACCAAATCACGGAGTATATCGCCAGTAAAAAAGAGGGATACCAGTGACAAAGTGGAACCAGTTAAAGGTCCCGATACGAGGAGAAAAATCAGTCCTAGAAGGACTAAATCTAGTCCTAGAAGAGGCTTCCGTCAACCAAGAAGAAAATCACAATCTCCTAGGAAACGATCTCGATCACCACGGAAAAAATCACGTTCACCAAGAAAGAGATCGCGATCACCACCGAGAAAACCTCGATCTCCTAGAAGAAGGTCGCGATCACTTACCAAAAAATCTCCCTCTCCACAGAGAAAGTCTCGGTCTCCAAGGCTCAAAAACCCCTCAACAAGATCTCGGTCTCCCAAGAAATCGGTTAACAAAAAAAGTTCTCCAAAAAAGTCTAGATCTGCAAGTCCCAGAGTCCCCCACAAAGGTTCCGAATCTAAGTCCCAAGATCGGGACCATTCTTCTGGTAATCCCGGTGAAAACAGATCCTCTGCAAGTTCCAAGGGTCCCGGCAATCGAGCTATTGCGAAGAAATCCAGGAGTCGATCTCGCAGTGGTAGCAGCTCTTCCAGCTCAGGATCGTCTAGCGATTCTGATTAGCTCGACTTCAGGTAAGTATACACTTTTAATAATCAACCAACCTCAAATTCATGCTGCTAATTATCCATAACCTAAAATTTTATGACAGCCTTTTCAAAAAGGAGGAAAAGTTATTTGACTTCGAACCATAAGACCTGGAGTTTGGAAAGCAGATGATATTTCATTTCACTGCGAATGGTTTGCATCCTTATGACGAAAGTTCACAATTTCATCTGGGTTTGCTATGTATGACAGTATTAGACCTTTCTTCCATATTACGCTTAAGAATCATGAGTTATGAGCAGTATTTATTACTATCGTCAGATTATGCTTTTCGCTATTTTATTCAAATCAAATTTGTTGTGTTGTGAACGTATGAATACTTAACTTTTAGTTTTATTTTCAATAAATTATGTGTTTTATTTTTTTGATGGGCCCTGGTTTTGAATATTGATAACCTCATTAACGAGTGATACTCGTAAAATATTTGCTCTAAATGTCAGACTGTCGACGAGT